TCCAATTCCATTCATTGCTTACGAAATCTCTCAAAAACCTTTTTACATACTTATATTATTAAACAAGGCATCTTATTTAGACAAAAACTGGGACGATATAATTAAACCGTATAATTAGAAAGTGCCGATAGTTAGGTCTATTACGATGGATAGGATTTTTTTATGAAAAACTGAAACCTGTCGTACTGTTTTTATGCAGTGGTTTATGTGATGCATTGCAACATTTAATTTTGCCTTAATCGGGAAAACCATGATTAATAAATGACACAATCTCTAAAAGCAGGGCTGAATACTCGTTTGAAGATAATTCTAGGGCAAGGCGACAACTTCGAATTCAAATTCGAATGGAAAAAATACAAAAATTGCATTGGAAAATACATATTAAAAAAAAAAAGAGAACTTTCAGAAACTGTTCGAATATCAGATATATAACTATTTTGAATATTATGCACGATTATCTTGGTTTTTACGTCACAGATGTGCACAAGATGGGTGGTGTCAAGAATGCTCAAGCTGCAATAAAAGCAGCGACGCGTTGCGTGTAACAGCGAAGTTTTTGACCGTCCAAACGGAACAAGGCACAAGTTTTAGGTCAGATTGGTAAAAGATGAAACTTGAGCTCATCAATATGATCCTGTCTATAAGACTCAATTCAACAGCATAAAAACAGGCACACTCCACTATAAGTTCAAGTTGACCCAATATGTCGGAAATCTCACTGGCAATTTTTTTTATACATTTAGACGGAATTTGTAAAACTGACTAAAAAGGTGATCGACGCTCCAGATTTGTGGCGGCGTAAGATAATCCATTGTCCCATTTCATCCCGTGGGCGTCGTAAGATAAAGGATATGTGGTAAAGGTAATACGGTATTATAATAGAGGTCACGCGGTCCATTTAATCTGATTGCGAGCACAATCAAAAATCCTTGGTTAGCCCCTCTGGGGCTAGGCGCTTAACGTTAACTTAATGAAATTGTTAATTTCAATTTTAAGTGCTGACTTAGCACGTGCTCGGCAATGAAGGAAAACGTAAAAACTTGCACAGCATAGGAATAAAATATTTCGCGGAATATCCAGTCCACTAACACGCACTGGAACAGCGCGGCGGAATTTGCTCCATAACCCTCTCAGAAATGTGGGGAGGGTACAACCAGACAGGGGCGGTCAAACAGTGAGACGTTATCGTTATATCAAACGTTATATCACCTTACTATACTTTTATTTTTGTAATTATATAAATATAGGTTACAAAATTATTGTAATGACTTTAAATAACATTGACGATGACGATGATGATTTACTCAAATAGGAAATGGGACTTCAGAATCCGCCAGGTTGAAGCTTGTTGTTAGCCATTCATTGACCTCGATTAACTTTTTACGTTCTTTGTACATCTTCCATAATGTGTTCTAAATTTTTGAGGGTATAAATAAATAAATATTCATTTAAAGCGTGTTTTAGCTATTACAAGCCACTGCTTGATTGCTATCCCTCTGGATATGGTAAGTGGTGGTGCAGCTAAAGATTGTAAAGCGCATTGATTTAGCTTAACAAAAGCGTTTACAATCTTGCCTTGAAGACACACATTGTAATCGGATGGAAAGACATACTGGCACAGAGTTAGAGATCAGCCGAGCATATGGTTGTTCAATGGTGGAACGGAGAGTGAGGAATTAAGTCATGTGTTTCCTGCGTACACTGTCCGAAAGCCGAAATGTATTCTGATAAGAACCGATGGGTGACTACTTTGCGTCTGAGCTCTAATCTAGTAAGTTTGGTTTCAGCATATTCGGGTCACAAATAAGCCCCCTAACACACCTTTCTATTGAATCTAATGCTGCTAGGTGGAGTTTTGCAGCACCATCTACATGGCAGCAATATTATATGCGCGATTAGCTTTGCGTTTTATACATATATAGTTCATGCAACTATCGTGACGTGAAGTATCACCGCACCTTTGCAAGGACTAATTTCTTTCCAGTTGCTTTGGCCCTGAACTCAATGAACCGCGTTACAGGAAACCTAGACCCCCAGCAACAGAAAGCAGTCGGTGTATTTTAATGATAGTTTTAGGAAAGACAAAAGAGATACGCTTATGTTTTGAAGACGTTGAATCTTACAAGATTGGCATAGACCCAATCGGAGACTACCTGCAGAGATTCACACGTTCAGACATAGCTTCTTATTATATAATTAGAGAATATTTAAAACTGACGCTTACTAGAAATATTTATTTAGTTAAGTAGAGTCGGCAATAATAAATAGTATTCAGAAACAAATACCTTTACTTAAAAAAAGAAAAATAAGCTATGGTCACGTAGAGTGAATTTCAAATACTGTTATAGCAACCTTTCGGTTAATATTAAGAAAGCAATTTCAATACAAATTATAATGATATAGACTTCTTTCTTTGATTCGTGCTGGTAACAAAATATAAATTGCATCATTTGTGGTTGACCAAGTACAGTGTTGCAGTTGTGATGCAAGGCCAGCGTTTGCCTAAAGCTGAAACTGTTGACGCGTGATTGAGCATGAAAACTTTATAAGCGGATTAAATTAAATCATAGCGACGTAAGAATCATTAATGATTATGGGTAAACAAGGGAAATTTAAAAAGTCGTGCGTTTATATCCGCTATTCGAATACTCTCGTAAAGCACTGACAAAGCCAGAATTAAAATATAAGCCTACTTTTAGCGGTTACTTAGAATAAAGAAAAGTACGTAAAGGTCGTCATTAGTATATTTAATTTGAAACAACAAATGATATATTTGACTTGAAATTGGTGAAAACCCGGTTTGAGATTTATTACTTTCGCAAACTATGTAAAAGAAAAGATAAACACTTACGCCTGTCACCCAGAGGGATAGGCAGAGACTATAGACTTCTATTTGGCACGATCCTGATACACCACTCTCGCGTCAGACGATCATACCCATTTTCAATATCCTAGGATGTCCCTTTCCGACTCTGCCGTTCACTACTGCAACATACATTTGCTTTGTCACTCTTTCCTCATTCATTCTTTCTACATGACCAAACCACCGAAGCATTACTTTCTTAATCCTGGTCACAACATCATCTTGCAAACCGCACTCTTCTTTTATCACACAGTTTCTCACCCTGTCACTCAGATTCAGCCCTAACATACTCCTTAGCGACCGCATTTCTACTGCATTTATTCTACTCTCGTGCTTCTTCTGCCACACCCTCAGAAAACGTAATAATTTGTCTTTTATTACTATTTCTGTGGCCACACCCAACTTTCACTATTCTATGTAAGATTTAAAAAAAATACAAACTATGTATTTAAAAAAAACTATAACGACCTTGTTTTAGTACACAAACGTAAACGTAGCACTAAATAATATTGCACAACGGACTTAGTATTCCTTTTATATTTTAGTTGTTCTAAGAAATTCCGGTACAAAGCCTCACAAAGCAAAACAAGCATTGTTTACAAAAATATCGCTTTTTATAATGCATCGTTGTTTTCACTGTAATTAAGATGCATTAAATTATACATACCTATTTATTTAAAAAAAAATTAATGCTTTAAATTATTACTTTTTGCTGTACGTAGAGTTTTAAAGACTTACTACATATTAAAAATTTTGAATGTTATTTAACTTTTTTTGTGACGAATCTTTTTTCATACTTTAGGGGTAAGGCTTCAGCCAAAAAGAATATTAAAATTCTACTGTTCACTATAGCTATTATGTACAACAAAACTTCAAAAAAATATTGTTTTAAAAGTTCAAATAAATAAAACTGCTTTGTGTTTTTTTTTTAATTATGTATGTGTACTCTTTTTACCCGCTCTAAAATTAGATAACTTTATTATTTCTTGCATTCCTAATAAGGGAGGTGATGAGTATTTAAGTTAGTAGTTAAACATTGTGGGCAAAATCTATGCACACAGTGAAGAAATAGTGATGTTTTACTTCGAGTTTCTACTATTTGCACATAATATTTACCATTGTATAATGTTTAAATATATATCGTTATCTGTAATTACTACGATTACAATGTTATACTCTAAGTATTGAGGTTATCAAATAATTGTTACCACTAGATCGTGTTTTAATAAATATAAACAGGCACTGCCGTGTAATGTGTGATACCATCACCTTACCCGAGTGTATCAAATATCAATGGACTTTCTATTACTTACTCTATATTACCGCGATCAAAATTAATAAGCCGTTGCTGGATTGCGTTGGATAAATGAAAGTAATGTTGTGACTTAAGATGTGTGGTTAGCAGAACGTATTCAGGCAGTTAACGAGCGCTTCGGTCATTGTTAATAGTTTATTAAGTAGTAACTAAATACATATACAAGAATACATATATTGAGCGTATAAATTTAATTGCGTACGTGGAAGTCGAAGTGAATGACCACACTACCTAGGTACTAGACAAATGCCCCGCATTACTCCATTGCGGTCATACGCGGCTGTTGCCCAAAAATAACTGGGTCAGTGTGCAAAAGTGACGGTAAATTGAGCCTATTATTTAAAAGTATTAGAGAAAGAGATAATTGTAGACAAAATTCTATTGTTCTGTTTCAGTGTGCAGAGAATACAGTGCAGAATGCAGCTGCACTATGGTGCATACGCGCGCTTGCATATTAATTTTGAGAAGTTCTCAATTTGAAAGATTTACAAATATAAGTATTAAATGATCGATGTACGGTATTAAAGAAATGTATCTCATAAAGCATACCTACTAATTAGGCATTTTGAATTAATCTGTGACAGTAAAAAGCTTACATTTCATAAATAGAACACAAAAAACAAATATAGAAATCACTTTGTAAATTTAAAGAAATACAAAATATTTTTTTTTACCCATAACTTCAGCCTATCTGCATATAAGCTTTCTCATGGCTCTTATATTTTAACTATATACCTAGATAGGAACGTACTAACACGCGTAAATACCGAATTCGCTTACGATGAAATAATTGAATAATATTATAGTATTACGAACACTTACCTCGGTCAGCAATGTCTAGCAGCTGCTAGCTTTGACGTTTATTATATAGGTTATGTACGGTTCACCGCGCCACGTGTTTTTAAAAATAGCGGGAAGCGCGCGACTAACCAACACGTAGGTTAAAATCGGAATGAAGGAATGAAATGAACGATGGCACTAGCAAGCAGTGGGAAACGAAACGAAGAGTACGCGCGTAGCGCGCGAAGCAAGCGCGACCGATTGTTGCGTCATAAAAAAGAGTAGGAACTACAGTAACGTCGATACGAGACGTCTGTTGACGTACGTACGAATACGAAACGTCAGGCAATTTTAACCGGCTTATTTTAAATTGTACACGAATAATACGTATTATGGGTACATGATATTGCTTTTGATTTTATTATAGTATGCCACATTGCCGCGCACGCGTCTTCGCTGCGAATCATAATAATAATTAGGGTTGCTAACCGTATTTAAAAATAAAGTATTGTACTATACTCTATTCTATTTAGGTCTAATTTATAAAATATATACTATAGTTTTTAAAGATTCTCTATTTCCGTTAACTCTTTTTGCTACGAAGTTCATTGATGCCACAAAAAGTGCAAAAATCTTTACACATTTTATGTATCTTTACATAAAATACGTAATGATTTTTGTACCTTTTGTGGTGCTCTACTTAATATAATTCTTACTGCTTTTCACAAAGTTCACGAGTGCCAGTTATAACACATAAAAGTTGTTATGTATCGCAAAAAGTACCTATAATAATATTATCTTTTTTAAAATAAATAATTCCCGTTTTTAAGTTTTAAGGTCATACTCTATCATCTCTGAACACTTCATTACTTTTCAAAAAGTTGGCAACGCTAGTCATAATGCTTACCTACTAAATAGCTGCGGTTTATGTTTACACTTTGCAAGAAAAAAATTACATTTTTATCACGTACGGTAAAATTGATGCGTAGCCAGAGCAGCAATAGTTTTCGTGTAATTAAAACATTATTGAACACTGTTGTTTAACCTTTTTTACCGCCTAACACAGTTTTATTTTTACTACCTCTTTTTGTCAAACTTTGATTTATATTGTGTTTCTATTATAATGAACCTCAGATTATAGAAAAAGATACCATCCTTCTTTGGCATAGTTTTAAATAGGCCAAATGAAAAGCTAAACGACATAATATAGGTATTATGTCGTTTAGCTTTAGCGTTAACCCTAATTGCAAGCTTGTTTTTTTTTTAGTTTTTTCATTCTTCTAATTCAGTAACATTGTTTAATTTCGCTTACTAAACCTTGCTTGGTAGAAAAGAAATTCTACCACCTATTTTTTTTTTTGAATATATATCATGTAGGCGACACAGGGAAACAAATCAGGAGGTGGGCTGCAGCGTCTTCCCAATTACATCTAAAAGATAAAAAAAACTGCAGTTGCCAACCGGACTAACAAGCGTGGCAACTATGGCAAATGAGGCAATCTATGGCAGATGTCTTTGTTCAGCAGTGGACTTTTGAAAAGCTGTAACGGTAACGGTAAAAGCTTAAAGGTAGCTATTGTTGAAAGTCTAGTGTTGAGAATACAATTTTACGGTTGTTTAATTAAATAATTAAAATGTTTTATGAAATGTTAATGGTTTAAGAAAAATTATTACCTGGGTATAAAGGCGCAATTTTTTCAGACACATTTTTGTATTCCGTTTTACAGTTATTTATTGTAAATCGCTAATAATGAGATCAAAAATTACTCTTTCTTAAACTTTCATCAAGATGTCCTCCAAAGTTTTGGAGACGCTACGGCGCGGAGCGTAAGCTCTAACCCCTGTTGCGTCAGCCGATTGGCCTTCGAGCCATGAACACAATTGGCGAGAGACGAGAGTGACTAACGCTAACGGTAATGCACAGACAGTGTTAGGTCTATCTAATGGGTGCGTTTGGCAGAAAAAAGCGCTAGCAAGCGCTTGTAAGTAAAATGGCGATCGTAAGCGGTAAGCGCTGTCAAATCGTAAGTAGCTATTTTCCTCTAGGACACGAAGTTAGTTTTAACCGGGAAACCTAACCTAATTTAAATATAGGTATGTTTGTAAAGTATTCATATTAAAACTTACCAATCATGAATTTTTAATAACATGTATATGTTTATTCATGTTATTATATTACTTAAAACTAATATTGCACAAAATAACTTATAAACTCTACTTCAAAGACTTTATTTTGTCTGAGTCCAAAACAAACAAATTAAATAAGCAAAATGGCGGATTGTGTCAGCGCTACTGAAGTTAGCAAACGTGTCCTGGCCGAAAACTGTTTAGTTTCGCCATTTTGCTTACAAGCGCTTGCTAGCGCTTTTTTCTGTCAAACGCACCCATTGTCTATACTATTATCAAAAGTTACATCATGCTTTGGGTAAGGAGCGACCTTCATTTAACTCGTAGGAGATAGAACACCTTTATGATATGGAGCAGTAATTACTTATTAAGTAAACAAAAGTAGTGAGATAGTAAAAGATAGGAAAAAACACAGGAGTGTTGAATTGAATTTTAATAGTATTTACCTAGCAGTTATAAATATGTTTATTTTATATTTTAAAAGGGAAAATAATAACCAGACTGGAATCCGTTTTGGCAATTTTAACATTCGTACTTATATTTTTTTTTCAATCAAAACTATATTTAAGAAAGAAGTATATTATTAATCACAAGTAGGTAATACAAAAATATATATTTAATTATAACGAGAACTTTTGTGATGATTTTAACTAACTTTTGTAAACTTAACTTCTTGTTAAGTTTAGATATTATTTTAGGTAGAGACATAAAAATAATTAAATGACTTGTATAGGGAATAATCTTGCCAACGATACTAAAACAACGATAGAACAATATCTAATGTTACTAAGTGGAGGAATCCAAAATTAAAAGTGACTTAACAAAAAAAAGATAAGTTTTTAATAGTATTGTTAGTATTCTATTTAAAAAAAATCAAGATACGTTTATCGAAACTATCAACGAAAAGTATCGTCAAAATTGAGACTTTGCTAGACGTCTGTTCTTACGATCGTAAATACGCCTATCAAACATGGTTATCAGAGCAAATCTATTCTACTAAAGGAGCGGCCCATAAACAAAAGTGTACTCTGTACGAGCTGATGATAATAAAAAATAGCCTAATAATTAAAAATAACTTTTCAGCGACTCTCAAAATGCGCAAACAGATTAAAAATACTGAACTCTACATTTACTTATAGATTTTAACAAAAAAAAAATCTATTTAATAGACATTTAAGAAAAAGCCGTAACGGGTACACTACGTTTCATGTTTTTGGTTGTTTGTACTTTTTTATCTTTTATTTTTCATTTAATTTGTATACGTGGTAGAGCCACATTGCAGGTATACAATTATAGTTGTAGCACGAATAGATCGGCTTGACCGGGAAGGGACCACGCTCTCACAGAATACCGGCCTAAAATAGCAGAAACGGAGATCCTTTTCAGTTTTACAGGAATCGATGCATTCCATCTCAGTTCTCCTGAGAGATAACGCATATTCAGTTTGATTCTTATTCGATGATAGATGTAGATGTCAACGTTCCACATCATGCACTTATTATCAAGTGGATGATGTGTACAATTGTTACCCTTATTTTATATTTAAAAAAAAAAACATTATATCTTTTGAGATTTTGTTTTTTGGAATTGTTTCAATTTGTTGGAATCCACTGCTGGCCTTGAAGTTAATTGCGATGGAGATGAGAACGCTTTGATGTGAATGCATTGTACTAGAGTTCAAGATAATTTCATATTTCAGCGCCTATGTTTGAAAATATATCTTGCTTAAGAACTAGAACGTGAGTCATTAATATTCATAGACATGCTTTACCCATCAACTTAGCCCGCATATGATCCACAGTAAGAAAAAATCAAGAAACAAAATCAAACAAAAAAGTGCTTAAATGATGGTACGTTTGGAACTTAAGGCTTCTCTGTACATATAATTTTCAGAATCGGAAATGTACAAGCTTTAAGGATCTAATTACTTCTTCGATACTTTATACCTTGACTGGTAGACCTTGCCATGAAAAAAGTGCGATATTCAAGCGGAGATAAAACTCTCAGCCCCTGTGACTTGTTGGGGATAATTATAAATACTTCCACGGAGAAAAGCAGCGACTTTAAACGGGATCAGCAGCGTACTGGTGGTACAGCTTCCCCGCGTCCACACTTTACTGAAACTGCTTACAAAGACTTTTACTATATATAATATTGTTGTTTTTAAAGGAGTTGATTAATAGCAAACATGTCGAAAATACTTCCAAAGAATAAAATATTTTTCAATGACTTCACGGTAAATCCTAAATTGGTGAAAAAATAGTGGACAGAACCGCTGGAACTACTGGAATATCGTCCGTTGAGATGTACTCATGAGTTACATAAACCACTGAAACAATTGAATGTTGCCAGTAAAATGTTCGGTTATCATTACTCACCATGTGAAATGCCACCGGTGAACATATTTAAAGCATCGAAATTATATATTAATGCACCATACTTGTTTCAACCCAGTATAGGTACATTATAACGTAGAATTTTGTCAAACACTTATGATTTATATTTTTAGTAGATTATCATTGCTATTGACTGTTTGATTATCTACGTTTAGGTATAGTTAGTTGATCATAGTGTATAATATTAACACAATTGATTATAATTCGAGGTAAGCCAATAATTAATATTCATGGGGGATAATTTTAGTGTAAATATGATATTGCTATTAATCATCACTACAGTCTATAAATGTTTTGGTAGAAAGTTAGAAACTGTAGTTTTTATTTGATAATATTAATTTCTAAAAATTAAGTTGATATTTCTATTTATAATACATATTTCTAAAAATTATCAGATATTAAAAACGCTGGTACGTAGGGAGAATTTATACAAGGTAAGATAGGAAAATAATACAAAAGTTTTGTTATTTTATCAAATGTCTATATATATGGAGAGATCGCTGTTGGGATCACTAAACATTGCCACTACATTTGACACATTCAC